AGAGTGTTTCAGGCTTAACACTAGGAAAACCTTTTTCACAGTTAGGGTGTCCAGGCTGTGGAATAAATTCCTTCCAGAGGTGGTACAATCACCTACCCTGGAAATCTTCAAGAGGAGACTGGACAGTCACCTCACTAGGGTCACCTGATCCCAGTTGTCTTTCCTGCCTAGCGCAGGGGGCCTGGACCCAATGATCTTTCAAGGTCCCTTCCAGCCCCTTACAGTCTATGAATTTATGAGTACAGGAATCAAACTTCATATATGATAACTGATTAACAAAAGGAAATAAAAACTTGTTTTTCATTATGACAATTTAAGAGGGTTTTCTCCTTATTTTTTTCTTTTTGACCCCCCCCAATATTTGCAGCCAAGAGCTTTATCTTCACTTTCTGGCAGCAAATGAGAAATCAAGTATGTACTTGAGGATTCAGATCTGTGGTACAGGTGAGTGGCTATTGACATTTTGACCTTTCGCTACATTAGTCAACATTACCTTAGATAGCACAAATGTTGATCAGCTTAGTGATAGCTGAAGTTTGGAGTAGTCCCATGTTAAGGCTAAAATCTTTCTCTGAGGGTGCGTTGTTACAGGGAACCCTAGCCCTTTTACTAGGAAGCAGAGTGGCCCCTTTAAGACTTGAGTCTTCAGAGTGAAGCCTGCCAGCAGAACAGGGGTTAAAGACTAAGCCTTGTGGGCTGGTCAGCTGACTGGGGCTGTCAGGTAACTGTGAGAGGGCCCAGGCCAGAACTATATAAGCCCTGGTCTGAGCTTACCAGTAGAGCCCAGGCTGAGATAGAGGCTTGACTCTGAAAGGCTCCAAGCAAAGCTGCAGGAGCTCTACAAGTGAGATCAACTGGCAGTGGGGACTAAGAGATGTGGAGCCCATGGGTAAGAAGGCTAACTGCCTCCATTAACTTTTCTTTGTTAAAGCCTAGGGACTTACTATTTATGTTGTAGTTTAATCTGGTGGTTTGTGGCTGAGGCTGTAGGGGAGTTGGAGTCCACATTAGTGCCTACAGGGGCGCAGCTAGATGGCCAGGGAGCCTAGTGCCACAGGGGACACAGCTATACCAGGCCAGGGCTCCAGAGCAGATTAATTAAAGCTAGTGCCTCAAAGCTGGGCCCAGCATCATGGGTCTGAGCTGGAAGGCTTAGCTACATAAAAGGGGCAGAAACTGCAATAGCTGAGACCCCAACAAAGTGAGAAGAAGATGCAGACAACACCTGTGAGGCATGGCGTATGATAAGGGAGGTTGTAGTCATGCAAATAGCCCTTAAGGAAGGAGCTCATCACCTCACAGTCTTTGAGAACCAAGAACAGATCTGAGAAACCCTGGGACCATCTCCCTTTTAAGAACCCATACTAACACCAAGTCGTGGCAGATGAGTAAAGGGGAGTCTGTTCCCAGAAGCGAATTAAAATATGAAAAGGGGACTCTAGGGTGCCTCTGGGAATTTTCAAATGCCCCCGGGGATGGCACCCTGTTACATGCATCTACACATGGGTATCTACTGTGCAATAAATATGGCAACTTATGCCAACTTGAGTGTAAATTTGATTCCTGCATCATGCAGGTATCCATTTTATGCCTGATTAATTACTGCACAGTAACACACATGTAGACACCTTACTGCACAGTAACACTGTGTGTGTGGACTGACTTCCCCCATAACTTGGTGTCATTCACTTGTGTTAATGTGCCTTAATGCCTGCATGTGTAGATACTGACCAGTTCTCACTTACTGTGCAGTAATTTACTGTGCAGTAAATTTAAGACAACATAAATGCATGTATAGATATGCCCTGACTGTCTTCCACCTGTGCAGCTGTGACTTGCCTTGCAGCTGTGACCAGAGGCCTTGTGAGCAGGGCTGGTGAGCCAGGACAGATTTTATCCCTGTTCTACAGGCAGAGTTGTAAGAAATGGTTTAGCGTGTAACCGCCAACATTTCCTGCCTCGCCTGGAGCCTGGCATAGGTATGGGCAGCATGTTGGTGGCTTGCTATGATAAGGCAGTACTTTCCTCCTCCTCCTCCTCCTCCCCTATCCCCCCCTCCCCCAAACACACCACTGGGGCCGCTAAATGTTCCCAGCAGCCATGGCAAGATGCTGCAAAAGGAAACCAGTGGGGTGGCGTAGTACAATGCCCTTAGGCTGGCCAGTGATGGAGCCATCAGTCACCTTGCCAGGTTGGGCATCAGAGCCCCCTCATGCAGCACCCTCCACATCCTCGGCACTGCCGCACATGGCTTTCCTCTTTCTCTTGTGCTGGGCCACACTTTGTCTGCAGCAGCATCCTGGTGCACCAGTTTTAGTTTTTCATCCCTCAACTTCCCCCATGCTCCTTGCTGGGCCCCACCTGCCTCAGAATGTCACTGTCTTCAGCTGTGCACAGAAACACTTCATGGAGAGGGGAAACGTCATCTGGGATACTGAGGACTTCAACTTAAGTGGCACAATTGTGGGGGATGGCCACAATTCATTGGCACAAGAGAAAGATTAGCGGGATCAGAGATAGTTCTGCTCTGGAGTGGTATAACTTTGAGCTGCATACTGAGTGCTTTAAGCTACTTAACGGTGTTAATGGGTGCATCTACATGACATACAGTAGCCTAATAACACTATGCAGTAGCATGCCATGCAAAAACCTTGCTAATACGCTACTACACAGTAGTATTAGGCTACTGTGCAGTAAGCATCATTATATACCCATGTGTTGGTGCTACTGTGCAGTAACTCTAGTTACTGTACATTTAGTTAATACTTTAGTAAGCATGTACTAAATTAAATGTGCAGTAACTGCTGTGCATTAAGGATGTGTAGATGCATCTAATATTCAGCTAATCTGGGGGTTAAAAGCTCTAGAAGGAATAAAATAACCATGTAACAAGGTCCTTAGAAAACAGAATTCTCTGTCAGCTTAGAATCATAGACTCATAGAAAAATAAGGTTGGAAGGAACCTCAGAAGGTCATCTAATCTAATTCCCTGCTCAAGGCAGGACCATCCCCAACTAGATCATCTGAGCCAAAGCTTTTTCAAGCTGGGTCTTAAAAACCTCCAGATTCCACAACCTCTTTGGGTAGCCTGTTCCAATGCTTTACCGCCCTTCTTATGAGGGTATATATAAAAATGTTTTTCCTCATATCTAACCAAAAATCCCCTTGCTGCAACTTGAAACCATTGCTCCTTGTTCTGTCTTCTGCCACTTCTGAGAACAGTTAAGCTCCATCCTCTTTGGAAAGACCCTTCAGGTAGTTGAAGGCTATTATTAAATCCCACCTCAGTCTTTTCTTCTCCAGACCAAATAAGCCCAGTTCCCTTAGCCTCTCCTCCGAAGTCACGTGCCCCATGCCCCTAACCACTTTTGTTGCCATCCACTTTACTCTTTCCAATTTGTCCACATCCTCTCTGTAGTGATGGGCCCAAAACTGAACATAGTACTCCACAAGTGGTTTCACCAGTGCTGAATAGAGGGGAATAATTACTTCCCTCAATCTGCTGGCAATGCTCCTACTGCAGGCCAGGATGCCGTTAGTCTTCTTCACAGCAAGGGCACACTGTTGGCTCATATTCAGCTTATTGTCCACTGTACCCTAAAGGTCCTTTTTTGCAGAGATCTTACTTAGCCGATCAGTCTCCAGCCTGTAGCAGTGCTTGGCATGGTTCCCTCCTAAGTGCTGGACTTTGCACTTGTCTTTTTTGAACCTCATGAGATTTCTTCTGGTCCAGTCCTCCAATTTGTCGAAGTCTTTCTGAATCCTAGCCCTGTCCTCCAGCATATCTAGTACTTTTCCTACCTTGGTGTCATCTGCAAATTTGCTGAGGGTGCATTCCATCCTATATTCTGGGTTGTTGATGAAGATATTGAACAAAACCAGCCCCAGGACTGACCCCTGGGTCACTCCACTTGATACTTGAGAGAATGCCATGGGAGACCATCAAAAGCCTTGCTAAAGTCAAAGTACATCATGTTCACTGCTCTCTTGCATCCACAGAGCCAGTCATCTCATCACAGAAGGCAAACAGGTTGGTCAGGCATGACTTGCCCTTGATGAATCCATGCTTTCTGTTCCTAATTACCTTCTTTGCTTCCAAGTGCAACAGAATCCTTGAGGACCTGCTCCATCATTTTTCCAGGGGCTGAGGTGAGGCTGTATTCCCCTGGATTCTCCTTCTTCCATTTCTTAAAGATGAGCACCATGTTTGCCTTTTTCCTATCATCCGAGACCTCTCTCAATCATCATGAGAGAGTAATAGCCAGTAAATCTGGGTGAGGCAGGGGGGGCATAATTGGTCTACAGTGAGGGAGGGGGTTGGTGGGTCTAGGCAGATGCTGGCAGGTCCATGGCGGGGGAAGAGGAATGCCTAGTCACAGTAAGGGAAATGGTACAGCTCAGGGGCTGGTGAGTGCTTGGGCTTTCCAGTCTTCAGGGCCATGCTGCAAAAATATATAGGTATTCACAAAATCAGATTAACCCTTTCTTAGATTAGGTTAATCCAATCTCGACCTAAGTAAGTGCACCTATTCATGTGAACCAGTTTAGATTGGGGGTGTCATTTTTGGATGATTTAAGCCTTCTGCACACCTGTATGATGAGGCATTTAGATCAATATAACTTTGGTTAGGTTAGTCTAATTCTAATGCCCTGCACATATCCATAAGCACTTCTGTATTGTTAGTTTCTCCATGTCACTAGATACCATATAGTGGAACAATTTCACCAAGTTTTAAATGATATACCTGCCTAAACAGATGTATGAGTACTCAGAGGTGAGGGCTTGATCCTAACTTCAGATATGGGTCTAAACTCAAAATCAGTTCCCAAGAGCATTATTTTCTCAGTGTGAATAACTTCAAAACAAAAGAAAGAGAGTGAGGGACAAGTGTGCCAATGATTTCAATTGTCAGATGTGTTGTGGAGAAAGATAGATGTGATTCCCAGACAGATCAGATTTCCAGGCAGCCTCTATTGTTGTTTGAAGTGACATCTCCTATAGAGATGCTCCAGAAATTAGGAATTTACATGCAATTGTTTTCTGTCTCTCAGGAGGGGATCACATAAAGGATGTTCTTTATCCAGCTGAAAACTTTCAATGAGAGACAGTGATGGATTACACTAAAAATTGTCTTCATGGAATTTGTGTATGTTTGTTTTCATGTAATGCACTTTACATGTTATAAAAGGTTCCCTTTTGCTGCCTAGGATTGCCAGAAAGCCTCTTTTGTGTCAGTATAGTCATTTTAAAAGTTTCAAATTCAAGAGAAAACTCAGTACTCTGGCTTTCTTTCGTAACAAAATAAATATGAGCAAGTCACACTATGATTAGGCTGCAAGTCAATGAAGAGGTTGTTGTCTTTCTGTGAGTGCAAATGAGAAATTCAGCCTTAGAATATGAGAGAGAGAATGTTGTATACAGGTTAGAAGAGGGGCTAGGTTTAAAAGGATGCAATCTTGATTGTGCCAGTGACTTGTTGGTAAATCATTTATCTTTCCTGTATCTCAGTTTCTCAATCTGTAGAATGGGTCTAATGCTTTCCCACCTTTATAAACTCTGTAGTGATCTATATATAAAAAGCTCCAGTAGTGGAAAAGTATCAATAGTAAAGTAAACCTGACTGATTTTTTTCCCCTCAAAAATGTTATATAAAGTTTAGTCCTTTATGCACCCCACTATTGCCACACAGTTTAAAATCACCCATAACAAGTATGTATGCTACAGTATAGCGAGTCTACCACAGTTTTCACAACTGAATCGTTGCTAGCAACCTCTTCTGAACATTACTGTGCAAATTTTCACCTCTGGTTACCACATAGAAACCTACTCATAAAGCCATAACCTGAGAAACTCCATTGCATTGATAGGTCTATTTAGGATACACACATCTCAGACTCTGCAAGGCGTGAGTTTCAGGTGTACAAATAGAGCATTAATTTGGGGTCATTTAGGGGAGGTGGTGATGTTTTATAGCAACTGAATATCATTCTGATAAAGTGGAAGCCCTCTACTAGGGGTTCCTGTATTGTATTTAGATAAACCACCAGAACCTAATAAAACAGCTGTCTTTTTGAATATGGTCAGTAAATTAATTTGGGAGCTCAGTAAGTTATTGGGGACCTAATTGTGTATATAGATGTATAGCTTCTGCTTATCTTATAGGATTGCACAAAGCCAGGTCAGCTCATCCCTCAGTGTTGGTCTGTGGTCCAAGAAGAAATGACTTGGCATAATTCTGACTTGCAACCCAAAGCTAAAAGCAATTTCCTAATATTACTTTCCTGTGCAAGTCATTGCTGTGGTTGCCACAGGAATGTTGTACCCTTCTTGGTTGGAAGGCAGATGTTTCCTCTCAGTCATCAATCAAAGAGGAGCTGTCCACAAGGTAACATCTTCATTTTAATTATAATGTACACACTGTAATAAGGCCACCATTATACATCCAGGACATCTGACTGCAGAGAAAAGAGATGTGAGTTTTCAAGCCTCCTCTGTGCATAGGACAAAGACATGAAATGCATCAACTTTTCTCCAGTCCAAGGAACTGTGTAATACGAATAGCTAAAGCACTTGTAGTGGAGATGCACACAGTGTCTGATGGGCCGACACTGTTTTGTTAATTTCAAATTTAAATCCAGGGGCAATTTTAGCAACTGTCATCAGTGGAGAAAGATCCCCAAATTCACAGCCAAACACCAGGGAAAATTTTAACTATATCACAGTTGTTTGCTGGTGAATGGAACCATTAAATCACCTATTTTTTTTAGAAAAAGAAATCAAATAGACATGCAATGAAATTAAAAGGAGCCATGAGAGTAAGTACATATAACTCTTATTTTCCCTCTTCTGTGACCCTTCCCCCACACTTTTTCTCATTGTATCATTTCCAATACTTGAGTCTAATCTTTTACTTGGATCTGACCTGGCCAACTCATGTGGTTACCCCTCTACCACATGCTGGTTTGCAGGATATAGCCCTTGTGCCGGAAATACTGACCATGGCAAATTTCAGAGAGTGACTGTCTTATTTATAGTGCCTGACACTACATAAACAAGATTGTGATAATGATGACAGGCAACTATTTATCACAACTATGAAAAAGAAAACATTTGTTGGCAGAATAAGAAAAATAAATTATTGCTTTTTTTTAATCTTGATTATTTGTGTGAATTACTGCGGTTGTTTTTTTTTAATTTTTTTTTTTTTTTTATTGTCATTGAAGGTATTTTTACAGGCCAAACAACCATTTTTATTTGTATTAGAATGAAATTTACTCATCCAGCCGAAACCCAAATGAAAGTCTCTCCCCATATCACGTAAGCCCCATATATTGATTGCACGGAGGATGATCTGGCAAAACAGCCATGTGGGAATTTCTGAACACCCTACAGGAGTTGTAGCATGTGTTTCATGTCAATCCAGACAGAGAGAATGTGCAAGATGAGTCATAGAGGAAACCAACAGAGGGGCTGCAGAGCCACATTCATATGGATCCAGTGGTTCCCGTGTTCACACATGGCAGACATAGTAGAGGGTCATCCCTTCACCATAGTCTTGAGTTCTGCAGCTGAGTTTCATTTTCAGAAGCTCTGTGATGCAAAATGTCTCTACAAATGTCTATGGCATTTTTCCCACCACAATTTTTCTGTGTCTGAAAACAGCTGTTGGAGATCACCATTTGTCAAATATTTCAAGATGGTCACAATCTCATGTAGAACTGGCATTGATTCAGGTACATAAGTCTGAAGCTAGATTAACAGTAAATATTGTAGGAATCAACCTCCTCAAAGTAGGCTTATTTATTTTACTCCAGCATATAGGGCCATTGTATTTATCCTGCTTAGTTGTACCCATATGCTCTTAGCTAATGACTCTCTTTTCTATTTTCTAATAAGTGACAACATTAAATCTGTTTTCAACCAGAGTTTGGATCTCAGAATCTCCAAAGAAAGAAAAATGGAATTATTTAGGGAATAAAGAATTGCCGTGTGTGCATTGTCTGCTGCTTCTGACTGTCACTTATAAATTATATGTGCTTTTGCCAATCTCGTCAAATATTTAAGAAGTTAGATAAGTGTAAGTGTTCTGCACTTTTAGTCCAGATCAGTTTCTCCTAGCTCAGTGGTCTGCAACCTTTTTATGCTGAAGATCACTTTTGGGCACCCCAGTGTTCCCTGGACTGTAATGTGAGACTTCTAAATCCATATTTAAACACACATAACTGGCCTTATTTTTAGAATTCTAGTACCCAGCAGCTGCTATTGAGAACACTAAAAACTTTGAGTTGCAAATTATTTTTGATGGTTGTGTGTTCAGTTTGAGGACCTCCAAAGCTCCTGACTTTCATAATGAGCTGCTTACTCCATGAAAATCATATCATAATAAGTGTCTCAAGTAAAGCACCCAAAATCAATAATTATTTTTTAAGACACTGGCCAAGGAAACTACTACTTCTGAAAATATGCCCTTAACCTAAAGCTGTGCTTGCAAATCTTGACCTAAGCCTCTTATAAAAGAGAGAGAATACATCACTGGATTATTGTGAATACTGACATGCTTGTAAAAAATCTAAAAATGTTTGGTTTGAAGACTACAGAAAGTTCATTAATTTCTGCCAGTATTGGGTTAAGCTGTGACATATTAATGATGATTCAGTCGTTTGGCTATGATGCTTTTTTCAGATCATGAAAAATTGTCCTTTTTTGTTTTAGTGGGTAACTGTAACAGAAAGTCTGGGAGACACTGTTACTTTGCAAGAGAGAGAGCCCAGGGAGGGACCCACATGGGGAAGCCTGCCAGGGAGAAGCTGCAGGAGAGCTGACTCAGGAAAGCAGGGACTACGGGTGTTTACTACAGAGTTAGTAGCTCTGCAGTAGAACAGTAGGACAATGTTTGCATGAGCAGTAGGACTATAAGCTGGAGCTCTGTAGGAGAGACAGGGCACTGCTGCAGTTTGTCAGTTTGTCTGCCATGGAGATTGGCTAGTGAGCCTAAGTAGAGGGTACCTGTAATGAACACTGTAGAGTCATCTGACCAGAATAGGGCAGAGGCAGGGAGAGATATGAACCAGGACCAAGGCCAGGGCAGGCAATCTGGCCATGGAGGCTGCAGTGGAAGGAGCTCCATAGCAACAGGCCCAGGAGAGCTCCTAGATGGCACCAGTGTTACCTTGGGGAAGGCAAAAAAAATGCTGCTGCCCTGCTGAAGAATTTGACCCAGGATAAGGGAAAGCCTTGTTGTAGAGAAAGGTAGCCAGATGGGCATATTTCTTTGCTATAGCTTATACCAGTGGCTTGTGGAAAGGACTGAAAGGTAGTTCAGACATTCCATTAGTGGCTGAGGGGCATGTGACTACCTTGGGCCCTGCCTGGGGTCAGGTCCAAGATGCACACTGGTGCCAGCAGACCCAGAGCAGGGAAGAGCTTGGAGCCAATGGACCTAGAGAAGGGCTCAGACAAGGCCAGGGAGGCCATAACTAAAGTAATCCAGGCAAGAGCTAGTGCTTCGAATCTAGGTCCAGCACAGTGGGCCCAGGCTAGAAGACCCAGCCAGAGGAAAGGGGCAGAGACTGAGAAGGCTGAGGCCCAACAAGAAAGTTATTAGAAAGTACACCTGAGAGGCATGGGTGTGGTATAAAGGAGCAGATGGAGCCACATAACAGCCCTTAAGGCTACAAGTGCTCTGTCTTGCCACAAGTGGTTAGAAGGACCCACTCTACCCAAGAGGGGCAAAACTGAGACAGCAGCATGGCCTGGGAGGGATCTACTGGCAGCTAGAAGGACTGGGGCTCACTCTAGGACCCTTAGGCAGCCTCCCTTCCAGTAACACAATTCCCTCAAAGGTGAGGCAATGGATAAGAAGGGGAAAGCATCCTAGAACTGGAGTCAGGCAGGGGTTGTGTAACCACCATTGAACATCATGGCTACCCCTGGAACCCAAACCTGCTACAATAGCATGGGTTAGGGACAGACATTCAAAAGCCTGATCCTGAATTGATTCAATCTTTGCAGGTTAGTCTAACTAAGCTAGGCTGAGTTGGTTTGAAACTGGACAGACATTCTCTCTGGACTGATAAAATCCAGGCGCATGCCTGCAGTGGCTCAGGCTAGAAGCCAGGGATGCTACAGCAGCCCTCCTCTTCCAGTGCTCAGCTGAGGGGGGGGGGTGTGGCCAGGCCCCAGCAGAACTCTCTCATTAGGGATGTCTGCCTGCACAGTCCCAGGCTTTTCCCTGCTGGCTGCTTAAGGGGCAAGAGTGTTGCCAACCCCCATCCTCAGGCTAACACTCTGAGGCAAGTGAGGGCATGCAGTGCATGCATCTGTTGATGATACAGAGCTTTTCAATCTCTCTCCCTGCTTCATCATACTGTCTCCAGCAAACTGACAGGCAAGAAAGCCATCTCAGCAGGGGGCTGATAACAGTTTTTACCACCTGATTAGCAAAACAATAGCCTCTCTCAATATTACTTCAAACTTCTTAAACAGCTTCCTGGCTGACCTGTTGATTAGCTCCAAAAGTCCTAAGCAGTCACTGATATGTCTGCCTGTCCAAGTGAACTTGAAGATAGAGACACACACAGACACTTCTCAGCATTAGCTAGCATACCAAATGCTGGGCTATGGTCCCCGATGGGGCAGAGAGGAGGAAGGGATCTCTGCTTAAGCAGCTAGGGGGGGGGGGGCGTTTCGGCCAGCGGACCCTGCTGATCCTGTATGCCCCTCGCTGGATCTCAGCACAGGCTGAGGGGAGAGGCTAGCCCTGCTGTGAAGCAGAGAGCCCCACCCAGCCCAGAGAGCATGCCGGGGTGCTGGGGGACTCTGATTTAACTTAAACCAGCAAAGGGTTTGGGACAGACATTGTATTAACCAGTATGACTCAAATCAGTTAAGCCTGATACTACATTCAACCAGGTTTATCTCAAACTGGCTTTTCAGCCATTTTCACACTGGTTTATGTGCACTGAACAGCCATTCTATTACAGGTTTAAACCAGTTTCTGATCACTTAAACCAGTTTATGTGTAATGGCTGTCCCTATCCATGGAAAAATGTGTGTGAAATTAACAACAATAACAAAAAAGCAAGTTTCACTGGTTTTCTTCCAGTTTTGCTCTACAATACTGACATTGAAATAGACCCCCTTCCACAAGGGGTACATGTTATTCTACATCCCTGGCTATGCACAATTGAATAGGTAATAATGGGTAAACCTTGAAGAAAGGCTATATCTCAGGGAAGCACACAAAACTGGATGCTTACCCAAGACATACAAACCTCTTAATCTGTATTCATTCCTCAGTACCAGAGATGTATTTTCTGGTACATTCTGAGTGTGGTCCTGACCAGAAATTGGAAGCAATAAAAACCTACTGAAACCTTTCTAAAT